TTTTCTTCTCTCGAACCATCTGGCTGCAATGGCCAGATGTAGATCAAAATGACTGGAGATGGCCCTGGATGCAGTGGGAGACCTTGGACATTTTAAGCTAAGGCCTTTCCCAGGTCTCAGTCTGACTACTGTGAGGTATATGTTTTGAGAAAACAACAGCTTCCAGAGATGGGAGCTGTTTATTCAAGGCCCTATGGAGTCTGGCCTCAAACTATCTTTTCTCCCTTATTTCTCTCCTGCTTTTGTCAGACTGTATTCCTCACTATTCTTTGAACATGCCCAATCAATTTCTTGATTCCTTCCTTCCTCCTAGAACACAGTTATGTTTGTCTGATTCATACTTTGACTTTAGGTTCTAGCCCAAATATCAGGTCCAAGGCATCTTCCCTGCTCCTCCTCACTAACCAGAAGTGATATCTCTCTCCTTCCTCATAGCAGCCTTAAAGTTGTATGTACCTTTCTTAAGGCACATTCATATTCTAGCCTTTATCTTCTAATAAACCGTGAGCCTCTGAAGGAAGGCACTAACTAGGTCTTAATTGTCTTTGCCTACCACAAAACCTTGCTCATAGTAAGTCCAGCAAATAGTAGTATTATTTACTCCATGAATAATATGTGAATTTCTATAGAACTTCAAGCTTTATAAAGTGTTTTGCATATATATGGCTTGATATTCATAATCATGCTAAGTAGCATTATTGGTGCAATTAATATTATCTCCCCAAATGAATGAATGAATGAATGGAGTCACAATTCTGGATCAACAATTTTCCATAGAAAGTCTACCCCTTTTTCCTACATACTTCAAGTTTTGACTCTTTCTTTCCTTTTTCTATTGTATTTTCTATTTTTTATTTTCTACATTTGGAGCAACAAGATGAAGAACTGAGACTTGATTCAATTGGGAACTATTGTTGTCCTTAGGCAGGAGAGTACTAATGACATGCACTTCATAGGCTCCAAAGCACTTTAATGGATACTAATTTCTTCTTGTTCTTGTTCTTCTTCTTCTCCTTCTACCTCTTACTCCTCAGCCTTTATCTTCTTCTTGTCCTTTTTCTTCTTCTCCTCCTCTTCCTCCTCCCTCTCCTTCTGCCTCTTCCTACTCATCCTTCACCTTCTTCTTCTCACACTTTTCTTTTTTCCAGTGACCACCCAATATGTTCTTATCTTTCTCTTAGCATGTGACCTCACCTCTTACTTTACTGTGATGATAAAATGCATCCATCATGGGTTTTCTCCTCTCCTCCTTCTCTCACTTCATATACTCTTCATGTCCTTGACCACCCTCTCCTCCCTGCTGTAACTAAAACTATTTCACCTATTATCTTCTACCTATACTCTCTAGCCCATAGAGACAAAGACAAAAAGAATGAGAAGGGATCATCTCTATGGGTGATCACCAAGCCTCATCTTAAACACCTCCAATGGTGGGGAATGAACTCCTGCTCCTGTACCCTGAGGCATTATCAGCTATTCCATTTATAGTTTTGATCATTAGGAATTTTTTTTCTAATTAAGAATGTCATGTGAAAAAAAAAAGCAAGACGTCGATATGTCTGAATTGTAGACTCCCAGAAACGGAAAAATGTATTCTAAGCAGCTGGGGATAAGGTGAGTAGAACACCAAGCCTGGAGTCAGGAAGACTCGAATTCCTGAGTTCAAATCCTCCCTCAGACACTCACTAGCTGTGTGTCCCTGGTCAAGTCACTTAACCCTTCTTGCCTCAGTTTCCTCATCTGTAAAAGGAGCTGGAGAAGGACATGGCAAACTACTCTGGCATCTTTGCTAAGAAAATCCCAAAAGGGGTCACAAGAGCCAGACAGAACTAAAAAAAATGACTAAACAAAACAACAATCCTGGAAAGGTAGGTTAGGGTGAGGTTATGAAAAACTTTAAATGCCAGACAGAGGAGTTTATATTTTATCTTAGAGGCTATAGAGAGATACTGTATTGTATTGAGCAGGGGAATAATACAGTCAGACTTGAGCTTCAGAAAAATCACTGGCAGCTGTGTGGGAAAGGGATTGAAATCTCAGGTTTGCACAGCTAATAAATACTGAGCTGAAATAACCCTTGGCTTCTGACTTCCAGTAAAGGGTCATTTCAACTCTACAAAGCAATGGATAGAATCCTGGTCTGGGGGTCAGAAGACAAAGGTTAAGGCCTATTTCCATTACCAGTTAGCTGTGGGATCTTGAGTAAGTCACCTGTCTCTAAGCATCTACACATTGAGGAAGTAGATTAGATCAGAGGAGTCATATACAAGACCTGTGGGCTGCATGTAGCCCACAATACTCCAGTGCCCAAACCAGACTAAAATGTAATTGAGAAATATTGAACAAAACAAATTTTAAAAACCTATAAAATAACTAATGTTAATATGTGGTTTTTAAAAAAATCAATGTATGGCCCTTATTTGTGGTTTGGTTGTGCCATTTCCATTTGAGTTTGACATCATTAGAGTAAATGATCTCAGTTGCCTTTCAGCTTGAACATTCTATGATTCTGTGTCTCTATGTCACAGATCTAGAATTGTTTAAAGGATCCATTTTTACAGAGTACTGTATATTATGAAAAGGAGATTTAAACTATACCCTTTATGAAGATCTGTATCAAAAACTGAAGCTTTGGAAAGTATAAACATCAAGACTTTCCCCTGTCTGTGCATTGTTTGTCCAGAGTTGTTTGTACTTTGTCTCCCCCATTAGTCTGTGAATTCCTTGACTGTTCTTTTTCTTTTTTCTTTTTTTGCTTTTCTTTGTATCCTCCTTATTTTGCATAGTGCCTGGCACATAGTAGGGGCTTAATAAATGCTTGTTACTTGAGTGGATAGAATAAGTGGCATAAAATACATCATCACAGATGTATTTTATAACTGGAAAGGAGGCAAGATAGTCATTTGTGAAAATACAAAGCAATGTTATCGATAGCACTAGAATTCCTTCCCGAGTGACTAAAATATCCAGAGAAAGACTTCCAGCATATTGGATGAATCTTCTCAGAGGGATTTATGGAAGTATGTAGTCAAGAACTGCCTAGTATGAGAAGGTCTGTGAACTCTAGCAATAGAGCAAGCAGCCACATCTATGACATCACACATCCTTAAAGTCATGCTATTTCTTTCAGTCTGCGTAAACCTTAATGGGATCTAAAATTGAGTTATTATTCAGATACTATTTTTACTACTAATTTCAGATGTTATCATTTCCCTAGACATATCAACCTCTACCCCACTTATCTTAGATAGATAAATAAGGCATTTATTAAGTCCTTCCCATATGCTAGGCATTCTGCAAATTTCCAGGAATACAAATACAAGCAAAAAAAAAAAGAGCATCTGCATTCAAGGAGCTCACAGTCTAATAGAATAAGACAAAATATAAAACAGAGCTAGAAGAGGGAGTAGTCCATCTTATACCCAGGAAGAGCCTGGGAAGGAGTTGGAAAAGTCTGGAGAGGAAGGAGTGCAGCCAGGAGTGAAATTATCATAACCTTGGCTTCTCTGAAATGGTCTAAGTTGTGTTTCATATCATTTGAAATCTGAGCAACATATACATAATTTTCTTCTTTTAGAGATCTCTATCGCAGAATTTCTTTTTACTGATGGTTGTATTATAAATCATACATAAATCAGTCTTTTCCCTGTACCACCATGATCTCAGTTATGAATCTAGAACACAGAAACAAGATTATTCCCAAGCCATCTATGAAGCACGTATTTTTCCATCCAATTATTGGGGTATCCTCCCCTCCTTTTGCTACCTTTCCCTTCTTTGCAATGTCCCCTTGACCGTAGCTTCACAGTGCCCTCATGCTGTTTTCAAAGTATTCAGGGCATCTTCCTGTAGGGATAATAGAACATACAGACTGACCTACCTCCTGTAAAAGAGCTGCTGCTAATTTTCCCAGAAATGGTTTCTGCACAGCACAGATAGCCTTATAAACAATTTATTAGATGCACCCACAAGTAAACTCTATTGCTAGGACTCATTTAATCATTATTAGCACAGCAGGAAAGGCCACTTCTCTGAACTATGGGGGTGGGAAGCAGGTACCAAAGCAGTGGTGGGACAATGCCCTTGAGTTACTGCCCATGCTGATGTTACATTCAGTGTCACTACAAGAAGGTAAGCAGGGCAGCTGGGATGAAAGAAAGACGACAGTAATCACTGCCAAGAGCCCTGACTAGGGCACCAAATTTCTCCCATGATCATGGTGCCTAGAGCTGGCAGATAAAATCTGGGAGATTTTGTTGGTTGGTATTAGGCTGACCCATTCTACTGCTCTTCAAGAGATTTTTAATCTTGAAAGGAGGGAAAAATGATAAGTCAGGATCATAGGATCATTGATTTCCAGAGGGAAAAGGTCTGGAAGATCATCTAATCTAAATCTTCCATTTTACAGATGAGGTAACTGACCCAGAGAGGTTAAGTGATTTGCCCAAAGTCACACAGCTAACAAGGGACACAGTCAAAATACAAGTGCTCTGAATACAGTCTCTTTCCACTGTACCACATAAGACTAGGATGTAGCTGATGGGGATCTAGAGCTCCTTGGTGACTTTTTCCATGTGCTACTATGTTCCTTTAGCTTATCATTATTCAAGGCTTTCTTTGGTGACAAGTCAACTATTGAGCTGTATGAGGCCTTCTAGTGTTAAAAAGTGAATGTAACCTGGGAAGGTAACATTTCATGTTACACCTTAAATCAGGGGTACCTAACCTGGGATCTACGAACTTTTTTGGAAAAATCTACTAACTCTATTTTAACAAAATTGGCTTCCTTTTGCATTCTATGTATTTTATTTTAAACTTAAATCCAAAATAAGAAAAGAAAAAAAGAAACAAGCTTAAATAGTAAAACTAAAATAGTACAAAATAAGAAAAGAAAATAAACATTGCCATGTGCACAGATGAATGTAAGAGAGGATTCAAAATATACAGCAAATGTATTTTATTTTATACATTTAGCAACATTATTCTAAGAAAGGGTCCATAGATTTCACTAATTGCTGACAGGGTCCATGGCAACAAAAATGTTATGAGCACATGCTTTAAACCATCATCAGTGATAAATATTTCAGATCAGAAGTAGTTTTTTCAGAGTGTTAAGCCCTTGAGAAAAGGGAATCCAGAAAAAAAATGTTTTGATTTATTCATTTATTCAAGAAACTGAGGCACATGAAAAGTACATATTTAATCTCGAATTCTGCTTTGGGTTATAAGAGAGAGAATAAGGATTCTCAAATTAGGAAAGAGGGAAAAGGCAGGGTTAGATGATTGCTCCCTGAGGGAAGAACCAGAAACACTAGTTCAGCCTGCAAAATCAGGAAACAGTTATCATAAATACAGCATACAAGCAGGGAAGGCAGAGTCTGGACGTGGGCCCTGTAATGAAAGCAGAGAGATACAGAGGATTATTTAGTTTCAGAAGTGAAGAGATAGTAGTCTCAGGTTGTCGAGAAGTTTCAGATTTCAGGAGAATGAGTAAGGTCCAAGTTTAACAAAGAGTCTCAGATATTTGTCACACATATCTTGCTGGCTCTAGTATATTGTGATTACCCAGGGGTTAGAGGTTGGTTTCACATTCCTGCTTCCCATGAATATATTTCCGCTGGACAGTAATATTACCTTCAGGGGGAATGTCCTAAAAGGCAGCTGAAAATAGGGAAGAAGAATAACAGAAGAATAACATAAACTGTTGCCAAGTTGTTGATTTTACTTCCATAAAATCTCCCACATCCAGCCTCTTCACTTTTTTCCAACTGCTACCATCCTAGTTTAAACTCTTTTGACATCTCATCCGAACAACTGTCACAGTCTCCTGTGAACAGTCTACCTGATCTAGTCTTACTCTTCCCTAGTCTATCTTTTATACCAGTGTAATCTGCCTGAAGGACAGGTCTGACTGTGCTCTTCCCAATGCTCAAAAAACCAATAGCTCCTTATTGCCTTTAAGATAGAATACTACTTCTTTACTCAGCACTTAAAACCCTTTATAGTCTGGCTTCAACTTGTTCTTTCCAGAATTGTTTTACAAGAGTACCCTTTGGATACTGCCAATCTGGACCACTATATGCTTCTCAAATCAGCCCTGCCCTTTCCCACTCATGTAGGATTATGCCTTGTATGTATTCAACCCCATTGCCTGTTGAAATTCTCTCATCAGAGACTTAACTCAAGTGCCGACTCTCCCACGGATTTCCCCCAGCTAGAAACAATCTCTGCCTCATCACTTTTTCTTGTGGTCTTTTGCCTGGACAGCTCCTTTGTCCCTATCCTATCTCACCTTGTGTCATACTTTCCCCTGCATGCCGCTGTCCGTTCCCTGAGGCCAAAGCTTAAGCTGCTTTTCGTCTTGCTACCCCCAAGTGCCCAGAAAGCAGCTGGCCTTAAACCTAGGAGAAAACCACGGTGAAAGTTTGCAGACTTGAGGAGAGACACGTTGATATCTGTCTCTCTGACAACACTTCCCTTTTGGCTACAAGCACGTGGGCACATGCTAATTAGGACGGTGACCCCCGCAGCGCCTTAACAGAGCTGATACATGAAGAGCCTCCCGGGAGATGACGCCTTCGTTGGCTGCCTGGCTGGCTAACGAGATTGGGCAAAGCTGCGTGCTTGACTAATGTGCAAGATTTCAGCACGCCTAGGATGTCTCAGACAGATAAGGGACAGGTGGGGTTTCAGCTGGAGTTATCCTTTGGAAAAAAAATGCTGGCTGATAAATGCAGCTGGAGGAAATTCTGCCTTTTAGACGGGATAAGGACCGAGGAGAGAGAAGAGAGAAATCTCTTTCAACCTCGTGCTGTTGCGTGACATTCAGGGAGACTCCCAGCCGCTGGCTGGGCCGGCCCTCCGGGCCTCCCATTGCTTTTCATGTAGAGAAACCGCATTAAGTGGAGCGTGGCACCGTGGAGGAGGGGAAGGTCAGAAGTTGACTTGAGTACGCTTCAGCGGCTCCTCTCTCTTTTTTCCACGTTCGGTACCCCGCGCCATCCGCACGCCCCCCTCTCCCAACAGGGGACCGACCCCAGCGGAGCAGACAGACAGCAGTCAGTGTCAAAGGCAAAGACAGCCCCAGGAAGAGGCCCCAGAATGCTGGCTGCGCATTAGCGAAAAATCATTCACTTCTTCTTTGAGGTTCTATTAAAGACGGCGGAAAAAAAAAAGTGGCAATTATAAAAGCCCATTTCTGCAGTGCGGTGGAAATAGAGCACAGTGTGGGCTGAGAGGGCGCTTGATGGGTAATGGACAACTTTGAAAAGATTTCCCTAGATAGCCAGAGCATTTTACTTTGAGGCTATGTCCTTTCTGGGTTTCTCCTTTTTTATTTTGAGAGGGCAAGAACACTGATGTGAAAGCAGGTTAATTCTCCCGTAAATCCTATCCCAAGGGTTCTTAACCTTTTTTGGTGCCAAGGATCCCTTTGGCAGTCCCCTTGGACAGTCTGTTAAAGCCTCTAGGGGCCCTTCTCAGAATGATGTATGTAAAGGAATTGTAAAGGAATGAATTATATGGAAAAGCAGTTAGCAAAATACTTAAAAAATCAAGTTCAAGGATTCTACCTTAAGAACCCCTGCCCTAAACATTGTCATGTACAACAGAAAACTTGGGTTGGAACTTTAAGCCAAAAAAAATCTGGGTTCAGGACTTAACCTGTATGAAGGAAGCATAGGATTCCAGCTTTCCAGAGCTGGAGGGGAACTCAGAGGCCTTCTAATACGCCCTCCCCATTTAAGAGGTTTATATGGGGGTGGGTAGAGGATGGAATCACACTATTTCTAGAAGCCTCAGTTTCTTCCTAAATAAAATGGCGCTCATACAATTATAGATTTAGAATTGGAAGGGACTTTAAAAGTCATCTAGTCTAATGTCCTCATTTTACAAAGGAGAAAATTGAACACCAGAGGTTCAGTGACCCAAGATCACACAAGCAGTAGGTGTCAGAATCAGAATTTGAACTCAGGCCCCATCAGTTTGCCTTTCTTATGTGTCTTGTGCAGCACTTGTAGATACTGGATGTTAGAGACAGGAAAGCACTCTGCAAACCATCCTTCAATAAATGTTATTGTATTGTTACTCAATTTAAATCAATTCAACAAGCATTTATCAAATACCTACTATGTGGAAGGTGTTGGAACTCCAAAGTCACTTCTCCCGAGGAATTTAAATTCTAATTGTTTTCACTGCCTTCAAGTTATTCTGATCACACTGATTCCTAGCTGGAAAGGCTGTTGCTGTATTTGACATCATTGCAGATATGAAGTTTTTGAAAACAGGATGATTTAAAAAAACTAGGATATAGAGTCATTTGAAGGAATTTAGCATGTTTGGCCTTCCTATTTAGGGGAAGAAGAGACAATCACTACCTTCAATATTCAAAAAAAACAATAGGCTTATCTCTTCACAGCACTGGTAGGAAGAAAGAGGGAAAGTTATACAGCAGGTCCTATTGTGACTCAAAAAGTCACTACCTTGGACTTCAGTTTCCCCTGCAAAATGAAGAGGCCTATTTCAACTCCATATCCTGTGATTTTAAGAAACTAGAGCTGTTCAACAGTGGAACTAGCTACTTCAGAAAGTAGTCTCATCCCCACTGCTGAAGATGTCTAAGGAGAAGATGGACTCTCAGTTGTTTAGGCTGTTACAGAGAGTGACTTTAGGTGGATTAGCTGATGTTTCAGACTGTTTGTAACTTTCATATTGTAAATGTGGAGCAGAAGTACTTCAGGAGAGGCAGGTTTGAACCTATCAGCTGTTATCCTCTTTCCCAACACTGAAATACACATACGGCTTGGAATATTTCATATCTTTGTCAATGGGAAAATCTACTGGAGAGGCTATGATCAACCAGAAGATCTGAGCTCCAAGACAGAGATTTCTCCTGGGCAATGTCTGTTGTATGGGTGGCCAGGTGGTTGGTGAGGAGGTTGTGAAGAAGGAAGCTGAGAGAGGGATACTTTTCTCAAGAATCAAAGGAGTCCCTCACCTGCCTTTTCTTTAGTTCTGCTAGAATTCTGTGATATTACAGATTCAAAGGATGGCAGAGATGTGAAGAACCTTAGAGACCATCTAGTCAGCCCCCTCATTTTACAGATGAATAAACTGATGTTTGAAGAGGTCAAGTGACTTGCTCAAGGCTATACAGCTAATTAGCATCAGAGCTGGGAATCAATCCCAAGACTTCTGAATGTTAGTCCAATACTTTTTCAAGTATACCATTAAATACTGCTTTAAACAGAGAGAGCCCATGGCCAGGATTAGAAATTAATTATTTTCTTTAATTGCTCTTTGGAATGGTATTCCTGATGAGTAGTTTTGAGAAATACTTCTACTCTTTCTGGCCAATGGTATCAAGGGATTGGAGCATTTTGCAACTGAAGTAGTTGATTAAGCTAACAATTTTCTTTGATAAGAAGAAGGTAGCTGTTACATGAGCAGAAAGGCTTTGAAAGATACAGAGGCTGGTGGCTAGAGAGGCAATATGGTGGCATAATAGAAACATTCCTGGATTTAGCATCAAGAGATACCAGAAGTCAGATTGTGCCTTTTGAACTTACCCATTGTGTGAACATGAGTAAATCATTGTTTTCACTCTATATCTCAGTTTTCTCACATGTAAAATTGCACTCATGATACCTATACTACTACCTCACATAGTTATCTTTTCTCCCATGTTGCCTGGTTTCTGTTTCAGATGTGTCACATATATATGTATATATTATATACACATGTTACACACACATGCACACACATATATTTGCATGTATATCTATATGTGTGTGTATAGGATGTGAACTACTTTGGGGAACAAAGTATTCCTCTGTTGTCTTGATTCCAACCTAGCTCAACATGTGCAAAACAGAATTCATTATTTCTCCCCCAAAACCATCCCTCTCCCAGATTCCCTGTAAATTTCCAAGGTTACCATCCTCCTATTTACGTAGGCCAGAAATGCCAGTGTCATCTTCAGCGCCTCACTTTCACTCACCCTATATAGCCAATCAGCTGCAAGTCTGGTCATTTCCACCTCCATGACATGCCTTACGTCTGTGCCCTTTGCTCTATTCATACAGCCACCATCCTACTTGAGGTCCTTATCACCTCTTTTCCTGGATTATTGCCATGGCCTCCTAATTGGTCTGTCTGCCTCAAGTCTCCTAAGCCTATCTCTCATAGAGGTATTGAATTGGTTTTCCTAATGTGAAGTTTTGACCATATAACTCCTTTAATAATGATTCCTTATCTTCAATTAAATATGAACTACTTTATTTGACATTTAAAGGTCATTACAACCAGTCCCCATCCTAACTTTCCAGTCCATTTACACATTACTCCCCTTTGCATATATTAGGGCCCAACCAAACTGGTCTTTTAAAGATTTTCTTATTCATGGCATACTATCTCCTATCTCTATACCTTTATATTGACTGGCCCCCATACTTGGAATGTACTCCCTCCTCACCTCTGACACTTAAAAGGATCTCTTTTCCTTCAAGATTCAATTAATTTCATCTTCTTAAAGCCTTACCAATCCACCTTGCTCTTTCCTTCTCTTGGAAATTGTCTCAAATATGTTTTGTGAATACCATTGCCCACATATATATCATATATGTATATGTATACATACATAGATATATGTATTTGTGTATACACACACATATACAAATATACTTATGTACACCTCTTTCTCTCTCTCTTCTTTGGCTAAACTGTAAGTTCTTCAAAGGCAACAATTGTTTCATTTTTTTGTATACCTAGCCCTCAGAATGATTGGTTTTGTTTCTAGAATCTCTAGGTACAAGAAATGCCAGATTAGAACTAAAGAAAGTGGTGGAAGAAGGGGCACTGGGCAATGTGGCATAGTAGATAACACCTTGGATTTCAAACAATTGAATCAGAGAATCTGAGAGACAGAAGGTATGTCAGAGATAATATAGTCCAATTTATACCCAAACAAGCTTCCATCCTACAATATCCTCACCCAGTCGTTATCTAGTCTCTATTTGATGACTTCCACTGAAAAGGAGCCCTCTACTACTTGAGGCAGGCCCTTCCATTAATGATTAGCTTTAGTGGTTAGAACCTAGGTTTGAATCTCAGTTATACCACTTAATGCCTGTGTAACCATGGACAAGTCACATATCTGAGGTTCATTTTCCTTATTGGTAAAATGAGGAGGTTGGATTAGATCATCTCTAGGGTCCTTTTCAGCTTGAAACCCTATGAAACCCTGATCTGTCCATCTCATATAACAGAGGATGTTCAGTTGTTATCTCAGGAGAAAAGCTTCTAGGTCTGGAGACAACTTGTTAAAAAGTAGCAATTGAGGGAGGAGGCAAAAGAATCACCACTAAGAAAAGAAAAGAAAAGCAGTTTGAGGGAATTTGGTGAAAGAGCAAGATAAGCCCTCTACTCCAGTAGCTACTCTAGTAACTCCTAACTC